GGAGGAGGAGGTGGAGGAGAAGGATGAAGTGCAGAAGGATGAGGTGGAGGAGAAGGATGAGATGGTGCATGAGGATGAGGTGGGGGAAAAGGATGAAGTGGTGGAGGTAGAGGAGGTGGCGGTAGCCCCATTTTTTGAAAGGAAACCAAAGCTTCCTGATAAGTGATCCCAGAGCCCCTAGGGGAGGTGTGCATGGTGGTCACAATGGTCATGCAGCAGGTCTGAGGACCCATCAGCCCCAAGGGTGACTGGCTCCTGCTGAGTCCACATTGCAGGTTTCTTTACTGGGGACCAGAATTCTTTCCTCAGGTTGAAGTTTTTCCTTTTACTAATTTTCTTAGGATTCAGGAAATGTTTCTTTCAGAGACAACAGAAGAGCGCTGGCCCAGGTCACAGATGCCAGGATGGAGCCCCAACGGGGTGAAGGGTGAAGGCTGGCAGTGATCACAGGCCTGCAACCAACCCCAGCACTAAGGGCTGAAGTTTCTTGAGGGGGTGGTCTTGCTTTAGTCATTACACTGATGTGTGGACAAAGACCCCAAGAGAGAGATGCTATCATATCCCCTCTGAGCCCCCCTCACCTCACACAGACAGTACAGCAAGCTTGGCACCTCAGAGCCAGGATATAGGCCCTGCTTGCGTCTCCAGTCCTGTCATACTGTCCTCCCCAGTCCCTGTCCCACTGGCAGGCTGCCGAGGAGGGCTGGGACTCTGAGGCCTCCACATAAGAAAGAAGTGGTTCTCCAGCACACCAACTGGGTGAACTCGGCGTCTTGCCATCTTATCTACCGCCTCCCGGCCTCAGACCTGTGGACATTCATAAGGGACATGGCAATCCCTGAGCCTGCCACATGCTAGCCCCTCTAGGGAGATGCCCACCCACAGTCCCTCGAAACTTACAGCTTTATCTGTGCATAGCTCTAGATGGTAAACCTTGGCCTTCTGTCTTAACATAAACTCTTTGGAGAATTCCCAAAGAAAACAAGGATGATCTGGGGCAAAGAGAGTGCACAGAAAGTACTGAGTCCTTCAAAGGCCGACCCACAGGACCACAGGTCCAGAGGGCCCTTGCTCACCCCTGTCCAGCATGGCCCGGGCCTTGCTCACAGCGGAGTCCTCCTGCTGACGGTAGTAGATCTGCACTGATGCCTCCTCCCTCCAGTAAACGAAGACCTAAGGGGCAGGTGGGCACAGAGAGGCTGTCACTGCGGGCACACCGGCCTGCATCCACAGTTTCCATCCTGGGTGGGCCAGGCTGAATGAACGTGCTCACACTCGTCCCTCTTGATGCCACAGACAAAACCCACACAGAGCAGAGCTGGGACCACTCACAGGAGCCCCGTACCCCAAGCGAGGGAGTTTGCTAACTCCTCTTCAAGTGAGAAGGATTTAAGAAACACAGCTTTATCGTATTTTAATAAAATATTATATTTTAATACTTTTAAAGCTTTGTTATAGTTGAGTCTATTATTTATTAAAATATGTACCAAATAGAAGTACATTATATGTACTTTTTAATAGAAAAAGTCAGGCAACCTGCCTGGTCTGTAGTCCCACACTAAAAAATCACCAACGCCTTACGTACGCTGAGGGCAGACATGCCTCCTCCCTCTTTGGCAGGGGGTGCCTGCTGGCTGGGGTATTCCCCCCTGAGGACATGCTGAGCCACTCAAGGAAACTGCCAGCAGGTGAACAGTGCCTGCTCAGGACACCTTCTAGAACATTCCCAAGCACCACCCTCAGGCTGCCTCACAGGCCTGTGCACTCCTGTCATTCATCTGAACTTTTTTCTCATCTTCCTCCCTCCCTTTTTTCTTTATTGTGAATGTAACAAAAGTTTATGTAACTTTTATTTTTCACCTTTTTGTTATTGTTGTTTTAACAGCTTTACATACAATTCATCATGAGAAGGACACAATTCAATCGTTTCTACCATTCACCCATGGAAAGCATACAATCCAATCATTTCTAACACTTTTGTGGAGTTTTGAAATTATCATCACATCCTGCATTCTGCAGAACGACACACAAATCCATCTGAGGAGAAGAAATACACCCCGGTGCTCCCTAGAAGTGAGGCTGTGGAGACTTTGCTTGCTTTTGAAAGGTCATGAGGAAAAAGCAATTGTTAGAAATGCCTTTCCATTTGGCCAGGTCGGGAAGGTCAGTGAAAATGCGGGAACCCCCTCAACGGGGTGGCTTCGGGAGGGTCAGTGAAAATGCGGGAACCCCCTCAATGGGGTGGCTTGACACTGCAGTTGGCAGTCTGGGTGTAAACGTGCCAGTGAGAGTGAATGAAGACAGCGCAGCTCAGAGCGGCTTTCTGTCCTGCTACACATGAGCTCACCATGGGAGCCAAAAGGCAGCCAACCACAGCCCGGAAGCTTCCTCTTCCACCTCCCAGCCCGAAGCAATCACTCATCTAATTTGATCACTAATTTTTTTTTTTGTCTGCATAGATTTCCCTAGGGAAGCTCTGCTAGTCTAGTAGTAAGGAGCTGAGCTGTCAACCAGAAGGTACAAAGTTCAAATCCACAAGCTGCTCCCCTGCACAATTTACGGCCTCTGAAACCCCACTGAAGGGTCAGCTTGTCAACCAGACAGCATGTTATCGTTGTTAGGTGCCACTGAGTCAGGTATGACTCACAGTGACCTATCCTAACAGATCTGAACCCTGTCCTTTCCTGTGCCACCCTCATCATCTCCGACACACCTGAGCCCACTGCTTCAGTCACTGTGTCAATCCATCTGGTTGAGGGTCTTTAACTCTCCACCTTTCTAAGCATTACATCCTTTTGCAAGGATTAGCCCTTTCTAACAACCCTGATTAAAACAAGCTTGGAAGCAGGAGTGGCATCTGCTTCTGATAAAGCTTGCCTCCGGAAACTCTATGAACTTGGAGAAACGATGAAACTCATATAATTGTTCAGGTCTTTCCGTTCATAGGGTCGCTATGAGTTGTCTATGCCTCGATAGCACTTAACATCAACAACAACATGCCCAGAGTATGTGAGATGAAGCTTCGCCATCCTTGCCTCCAAGGAGCACTCTGCTTGCACCCTCTCCAAGACACATCTGTTCGTTCTTTTAGCAGTCCATGGGATACTAAGTGCTCTTCTCCAACACCACAACTCAAAGGCATCGACTCTTCTGTCATCCTTCTTCATTTCTGACTCTCAGTTGTACAGCAGGTTACTTGAAAGACCATGGCTTGAATCAGATGTATCTTAACTGGCATGACTGTTCAAGACTTTGGATCAATCCCTGACAGGAAACTTAGCCAATGCTGTGATCTCCTGGCTGCTGGTACCAAAGGTATTATTGTAGATCCCAGTAAGACAAAAATCACTGATGATTTCAATCTTTGCTCTATCATAATGTTGCCTATCAACCTGCTGGTGAGGATTTTTGTCTTTTCTTTCCCCTGTCTTTTATTTCTTCTTGATGTTAGGATGTAATCCATATAGAAGGCAGTAGCTGGGAAGATGAGTGGAACAGCTGGATTCTGCTAAGGTGTGTTTTCTGGTTTGGGGTTGAGACTACGGTGTGCCTTTTGTTCACAACAGGGTGTGAGCAGATTGGATTTGGCCTAGTATTTAAAAAGGCTTTTGGGCCCTTGACCCTGCTTTTTGTGGATCTCCCGAATAAAAGAGGCTTGAAAGTAGGAGTGGCATCCACTTCCCAAAAAAAAAAAAAAAAAAAGATGAAAGCTTTGTGAAAGATGAACTTCGCTCATAGGGTTGCTATGGGCTGTCTACAACTTGATGGCACTTAATAACAATCTTTGACTGCATCAAGCATTTCCAGCAAGCAAGGCTGTGTCTGTCATCCACATAACACAGGTTATTGATGAATCTTCATCCAGTCCTAATGTCACATTCTTCTTTACAGAGTCTAGCTTCTTGAATTATTTTCTCAGCATACAGGCTGAATAGGTATGGAGAAAGGATACAACCCTGACAACTCCTTTCTTGATTTTAAGCTATGCAGTGTTCCCTTGCGCTGTTTGGAAAAGAACTTCTTGGTCCTAGGTATAGGTTTCATATGAACATACTTAACTGTTCTAGGATTCCCATTTTTCTCAATGTTAACCATAGTTTATTATGATCCACACAGTCAAATGCCTTTGCATAATCCATAAAACACAAATAAGATATTCTTCAGGTATTTACTTTCTGCTGAGATATACCTGACATCAGCAAGGAGATCCCCAATGCCATGGCCTCCTCTAAATTCAGCTTGACTTTTTGGCTGTTCTCTGTCAAAGTCCTGTTCCAGCTGTCTTTGGACGAAGTTTAGCAATACTATGTTTACATGTGATATTAATGAAATTGTTAATTTTCACATTTTGTTAGATCACCTTTCTTGGGAATGGGAACAGGCATGAAATTTCTTTTGGTTAGTTGGTCTAATAGCTGTCTTACAAATTTCCTGACATAGACTTGGTGAGCATATCCAGGGTTACATCTCTTAGTTAAAACATATCAATTGGTATTCCAACGATTTCTAGGGCCTAAATTTTTGCCAATGTCTTCAGTGAAACTTGAATATTTTCCTTTGTTACCATTGGCTCTTGTTCTCAAGTTACTTTCTGAAATATTTTAGTGTAAGCCAATTCTTTTTGGTACAGTGAGTGTGTATTCCCTCCATCTTCTTTTGATGTTTGTTGGATCTTTCAAGATTTTGCCCATCTCTCAGTATTCCAACTAAAGGCTTGGATTTTTCAGTTCCTTTGGCTTGAAAAATGCCAAGTGAGTTCTTTTTTAAAAAAATTGTGATTCTAAGTTCTTCTCTTCTTATTGACTCCAGCCTTTTGACATTATAATATTTTGCTCTGTCTTCTCAAGTTGCCTTTGTTTTGGCATCTCTAGCCTCTAGTGCAGTTTGCAAATTTTAGCAACACAGTTGATTTCCCTATCTATGAATAGAATCTTTGACTTAACATAATGTTTTCAAGGTTCATCCAAGTTGTAGCATGTTCTTCCTATCTTTTATGTTTGAATGACGTGCATGTGCACCATTCATTCAACTGTTTTATTTCCACCTTTTGCCTATGACAGGAAATGCTGTATACAAGCTTGTGTTTGCATGTATCCTTCCATCCCTTTTGGGTTTATACTTAGGACTGGAACTTCTGGGTCATGATGTAATTCTTTGTTTCAATTTTTGAGGTACCATCAAGCTATTTTTTTTGCAGTTGCTGTACCATTTTGCATTCCCACTGATGGTGGGAGGAGCTCAGATATAACTGCCTACATTTAGGATGACAGTAAATAGTTGACTAAGTTTAGGATGATAATTAAATAGTTGCCTAGGTTTAGGATGACAGTTATCAGTTATCTATGTTCAGGAGAGAATACAAGTTTGCCTATGTCAAGGACATTCACACAACTGATCAGGAATCTCTGAAGCTGTTAATCCAGGGACTAAGGATTTAGGATCAAGTCACCTTGACATGGAACAAAAACCCCTAAATTGCTTGAAGAATGCAGCATCAGTAGGTTGATGTGACATGACTGATGGTAACTGATAGCTGATAGATAATTCCTGATAGGTACTTTGGTAATGCAATACAAATCAAAACTACACTGAGATACCATTTCACACCTGCTAAAATCAACACCCTTGGTATCAGCAGTCAGGAAATCAGGAGACATTCTACTGGGCAGGTTCGCCATCAGGGACCTCTATTACTGAGGAGCAATGATATCAGTTTGGAGACTAAGGTATGTCTGATTTCAGGCCATGATCTTTCCAATCACTAGCATCTGAGAGCTGGAACAGTGAATAAGGATGACAAGAGCAGTTCTTATTGGGTGATGCAAATTATTAATATGCTTAACTGCTAATTATCAGGTGACTTGATAACTACCCACCTCAGATATCATTTATCAGAGGGAGAGAATTCATTTAGGAGACTCCTTTCCACATTCCTTTCCCCTTAACTACTCCCTCTTACTGTCTCCTTAAAAAGTCTGGCTTGCAAACAACAAATGCTGTTGAGGTTGTGGAGAAACTGGAACTCTTATTCACTGTTGGCAGGAGTGTAAAAGGGTGCAACCACTATGGAAGGCAGTATGGTGCTTTCTCAAAAAGCTGGAAATAGAAATACCTTTCTTTTTTTTTTAGAAATTCCATTTGATACAGCACTTCCACTACTGGGAATATACCCT